AACTGAAAATTGGAGAAAAGCTCAAATCGAATTGACTGTGCACAACTAATTAAATAAAACAATATTTTTTTATCGATAAACACTGTTAAACGATCATATGAATCTGCGGCGTGCGAACTGTCAAGTTCAAAATGATAAAGTGGTGAAAGTCAATTAAGCAAAAGAAACGTATTTTCATCCGCCATTTTTATTCATAGACTTAACCGACAAATATAACAATCAGGCAACACTGCAGGTTCTTTTGAAGGGACCATCACAAAGTACGGATGGTAAAGAAATGTAAGTCCAAAAACTAAAGCACCGTGTTTTCATAAGCTCACATAGCTAACTGTCGATAGCTTTAATAAATATGACCGAAGAGGAGTGCCTGTCTCTTATGGTACTTGGGATATTTCTTCTGCTGTACGTGCTCCATGCTCAAGCAAACTGTATGTTTATATATATATATGTTATATCATTTAAATTCAACTTTACTTTTTGAAAAAAATTATTTGAGGACAGTAGGTACTGTCCGTTACAAATTACAAGAGTTTACAATTACTTGACTTGACGGAGTCTAAGCGTGTATTGAACACGAAGTTTAGATAAGTGACTGTTACGGTGTCTAGCCGGGTATTGAACAACAAAAAATGGGCGCAAGGCTTATTTATACTATTGGTGTGCTTACAAAGCTCTTCTAGAAAACAAAACATAAGCAACGAGTTGGCGAGAAGTCGTTATCTATTGCTGAGCTAGCGTCTGATGCAACATTGTATGGCATAGTGAGTCCATTGTTATGAGTGCATATAACATATATATATAAAGAGAAAATGGTCATGCGGAGAAAGGTATATAACAAAAAGTAGGAAAATAATGGGCAAAATCTGCAAAAAGGATGAAATTGGATTCGAGTAGAAAATAGGATAGACAACCCGAGGGATACGTATTTCTGCTGGTTGGCTTCATCAGGCCCGAAATGAATGTACATATGCAACTACAAAAGTAGATACACATGTCCACACATCCGGATACGGGTGTAACCTGAGGAAACGAAGATGGAGAGGGAAAAAATCGACACACGAAGTCCACAACAAGAGCCAACCTACACATTGTAGTATAAAATCGCTAGAAGACCTCGAATTTTCACGGAGACATCTAACCACACCATCTAGTGGCTATAACCGGCCGCGTAGTCTCGATTTCGGCTTTATTTGTCTTGGGGTTTTCAAGGGATCTTTGGACGAAATTACTTTTATTAATCTAACTGATCTAGCATTTAGTTTTCTAGGCCGACCACTTCTCTTAGAGGCTTCCTAGATACCTTTTTGTTTATATTTGTTCAATATTGCCCAAACTGCTTTACACTTCAGCTTCAAATTATTGGCAATGTCGACTTGACGTTTACCATCTTTGTATAACTCAATGATCTTAGTTTTCACATCGAAAGAAATTTCTGGATCACGCGGCATGGTCTTAAAATCAATCAACTTATTCCACAATACTTGATTAACACAAACTAATCCTCTTCTGACACGAAACTATACTAAGCTAATGTTGAAAAGAATTTGTCTACATATTTTTGTCCCTCATAAAAAAGTGCGTATATTCAGACTTGTATTGTGATCATTGCAGATAATGTAAAAACAAGGAATTTAGTTTCTCTACTAATAACGCACTTGTTTATGGAGCAATGAAGTATGAATTCGTTTTCTAAAGGTATTTAAGTAAGTATTCATATGTGTCATGTACGTAAAAAATGAATTCTGGACTTGTTTATTTTCAGACATGAAATAGCTTCTGTCTGTACTACCTACCTATGGATTGTTATAGGTGCTTCAAAAACATTTCATATATGAAAATCACGCTTGCTTCTGACACACAGGAAGTAGAAAGACAGTCGCAATGCTAGCAGACTGCAAATATATGCAGGACGTTATTGTTCTGATATGCTTAGCGTTGTCTCTTTCTACATGAAAAACATCTAATATGGTTAAGCATTCTTATCACACTTCTCGGATATTTCCGGCTCGTTTGCGGTTCAATCACCACGCACGACAGTTAAAAAAAATAAAAATAGCTTCGAATATTTCACGTTTAATAAAGCTAATTAGAGTAACTGAATTTACGGTGCATAAATGATAAAGAGGAAATTAATTCTACTCCAGCAGACACTTTTTTATATCGCTTTAATGTGAAATCTGTCACGCTCTGGCTGCCACTCAAGTAGGAATCTGTTAGAATTATTCGTTGAAAACTCAAAATTGATATGATATTTTGAAAATCCGTTTAATTGAATGAATCTAATCTAATGAGTGAACACAGGTTATGTCCTAAATGTGGTGCAAAGATTCGCTGTGCTTTTGTGCCGTATCGTCAGTCGTTCCTACAATTGTAGTACGCCTTTAAGGCCTCCTTAATTTTCATAGTCTTTTCACTCCTTCAGAAAGGATGGGGTATTCTAGATTTCTACTAATCTAGTTTTCCTAAAGAACGGAAACAATATGAAAGTCAAGGAGGCCACAAAGGCAACATACAATTATGTTCCGTCCTCGTCGAAGTAAATATTTAGAATACATATCGTAGTACCCTCGTAGTAGTATCCAAACACCACGATTCGAAAGCGCACACGCAGAGAAAGAAAGCGGCAACCGTGCCCCTTCCCCCTACCCTTCTCCCTTTGGCCACCAATAAACCTTCATTCCTTGTTCTCGAGCCCGACTGTTAACACGTTAATCGGCGCGCATCGTTTTACGTGCAGTGCAGTGTCAGGGATCCGCTGAACATTTAGAATAAGAAAACAGGACAGAAGGTTGGCCGATAGATGTCATTGTGGAACGAGATACCAACCGACGGTCGCCTCAAGGTTCCTTCGTCGCGGACCAAAATTAGAAAGTGGCGTGCAAGCATCTTTTTCTGGAGGGGCGTCACCATCACGTAACTGTCAATTAACCGATTTGTTTTAGGTGCAAGTTAAATGAATATTAGTATGGATGCCTCACCGGTGCTGCAGATTGTGCCTAACATGGCGTTTGGGATAACGTTGTGACACTGTTGCTTGGGATAGCAACCTGGACCTAGCTTGTGATAGCCAACTCCAAGGACAAACAAAGACGTTTGGGAAAATGCTGAAACATTGGACTCGGTTGCTTGGGATAGCAACGTGGACCTGGCTTGGGTTAGTCAGCTCCACACCAAGGACGAACGAAGTCGTTTGGGATAACGTGGAAGCAGTAGACACGGTTGCTTGGGATAGCAAGGTGGACCTAGCTTGGGTTAGTCAGCTCCACACCAAGGACGAACGAAGACGTTTAGGATAACGTGGAAGCAGTAGACACGGTTGCTTGGGATAGCAAGGTGGACCCAGCTTGGGTTAGTCAGCTCCACACCAAGGACGAACGAAGACGTTTGGGATAACGTGGAAGCATTAGACTCGGTTCCGTGGGATAGCAACATGGACCTAGCTTGTGATAGTCCAAACCACACCATGGTGCCTCGGCCTCAGTGGATGAAATCGGTTTTAGCAGATAGTGTCACAATTGACAACCCACAGTACATTAAATGCGTCTACCTCTCCGCCTGCTAAATTATAGTAGTCTCAGGCTCGCGGCGGGATGGAGTGCATTTTCTGAGATGCGTCACAAATCTCTTATGCCAAACAATAGCTTGGCTCAAGCGGTATTTGAGGTGAACTAAGTCTCCACATCTTAAGCATAACTATGTTATTACGTTATTTGCTCATTACCATGAAATGGATGGTAATTTTTGAACCAGATACGTCATATTACCTGTTGCTAAAAGCCTTAACTTGTTACAATGGAAATGTACATTTAGTTGACACATACATTGCGTCCAATTTGTGTAGTTGTGTACAACCTATCGTTTACTATTGCAGAGCGTTAGTAGTATGTTATTACAACTAGCTTTGAACATCTACGATATGTTTTCTAAATATTTACTTCGACGAGGACTTCACATAATTAAGATCGAACATCACTTACAGGTAAGTTCGTTTAATCATGTAATTTTTCTTCTCTACCCTCGTAACCCACTGTGCTCTCGTTTTCTTCTGGAAATAGCCGAGAATGCAGTCCCATTGGATATTCGTTGTCGTTCTTTGTAGACGAATTCGATATATTTAGCCTCTACACGACCCTGAACTTGTTCCGTGCGTGCGGCGACTCGATGCAGAATGCAATGCCATGGCGCGTCGACGCGACGACGTTAATGAAAATATTTCTTTCATGCATAGCAATTTATTGTTTCTTGGAAGCGAGCATTTTTATAAAATGTATGCAAGTGGTGAAACGATATATGTTGTTGTTTGTTAAAAACACCACTTTGCAGACCCTGGTTGCAAGCGTAAGTGATATTCAGTGAGTGTATACATTTTCCGATATTTAGGCCAGATTTTACTAATTCAGACCATAAAATTTGCGTCTGTGGTCAAAATTCGACCAACGAGAAGGTGGTTTTTGAAGTAATGGATCTAATGAATATGGTGAATTTCTTGTATAATATGTCTCGATAGAACAAAATCATACGATTCATGGAAATTGGGCCCATAATTCTCAAATTAAATCAAGAGATACTTCATAAATATATCACCTGGTTCAGCTACAACACAAAAAGAAGGATTTGGGACCTGCTCGAAACATCGATCAAACCTAATCTAATAGATGGATATGACCGCAATTACTGGGCATTTTATTGAAAATATTTTTCTAGAAAGTCTTACCTTGAATGAAGTCTATTATCAAGGTTTTTAATTGTGACATGTGCTTTGATGCTTTTAATAATAATTGTGTGTGTTCTGTATCTATTTCTTGATTGTTTGTCTTGAAAGAAGACGTCAACGTTGTAAGCTTTTTAATTATATTGTTATATATTAAAACTGACATAGTGTAGAAAGCTGAAATCAACGTTTATAAAACCTAAATCAGGATCTAAAACAACAATGAAGAAATTTTGATTATGCCGTGGTAAATGTCACCACGTCACCAGTTCCCCTCATAAGTACCTACCTCGATGTTTGTATGACCTTATCTTGGAACTTACGATAACAAGAGATATAGATGTTTACCTGTAACAAAAAAATATACAGGGTGTAAACGTTATGGTAGCCTTATTGAAATGGGTAATAGGGGGAATCATAACAAGTCAAAAAGTTCATATGAACCATGGTCCAAAAGTCAATAGATTTTTGTCTAAATGGCTTTATAGTTTACAACTTGAAGTGCTTTATATCGACCACAATCACCACAATCTTACTAATTTTTATAATCTAATCTAAAACGTTTTTAAATTAGGTAATTAACAAATAAATGGCATTAAGTTTTTCTAAGTTAAGCCAAAATTTGTAGTCAATAAGTTTCATCAAATTAAATATTTAAAACCCACATGACAACAGCGCGTCGGTCTTTCATCACATTTATCGAACCGGCAATCGATCCCAAACGGTAACAGTGGTTAGTATGTTGTTTTGTTTTTGTTCGCGAGTTTATTTACAATGTTCTCGAATCAAGAGTTCGCAGACATGTTATTAGTTTACGGTGAAGCTCGTCGGAATTCAAATCTTGCAGCTCAAATTTATCGCGACAGATTTCGCCAGCGGGTATACCCAGACAGAAGGACATTTGTGCAAGTGTACCAAAGACTTCGAGATACAGGAAGTGTTCAGTACACTAATATTCGCACTCGAGAAAGACAGGTTACTGTAGAGCTCGAGGAACAAATTTTAAATATCGTGGAAATCAATGCAGATATCAGCACTCGAGAATTAGGCCGTCGCTTAGGACTATCGCATAACATAGTCAATAGAATCCTACGGGAAAATTTGCTTTATCTCGAACATGTACAAGGAGTGCAGGCCTTGTTACCAGAAGACTATCCTCGCAGACTAACATTTAGTCAGTGGTTTTTGCACAAAAACATTGAAAATCCGGATTTATTAAAAAAATTCTAGCGACGGACGAATGTATTACACGAGACGGGATATCAAATTTCCATAATACTCACACGTGTGCCCAAGAAAATCCTCATACCATTCGTGAAGGTCATTTCCAACAACGTTTTAAAATAAATATTTGGGCGGCTATTCTTGACGATCAGGTAATTGGCCCTTTCGAGTTACCACCAACATTGTCAGGAGAAGGATACCTTAGCTTTCTAGCCAATAACCTACCAGAACTTTTGGAACAGACCTTAGACAACGTGCCATTACAACGGAGACATAATTTGTGGTTTCTTAATGACGGGGCACCAAACATTTTTAGAGGCGTCATTATGTATTTGAATGAACACTATCCAAATCGGTGGATCGGTCGAAATGCTCCTGATCCTCGAAAATGGCCAGCAAGATGTCCTGACCTCAATTCGATGGATTTCTGGTATTGGGGAGAACTTAAAGAGATGGTTTATGGGGCTGAAATAATAAATGGAGAACTTCGAGGACCTAGAGTAAGAAAAAACTGGGTTCGTCGTAATGAAGCTTGTGCGGAAAGTGGAGGACGACACTTTCTTTAAATCTTTAAATGGGTCTTAAAAAGAAAAACAATGTATGTATCAAAATTATGTTCCCTATTTATAAGTGGATTTTTTTAATACGTTCAATAAGCAAACTCGATCTTTATTTACACTGCGTTCCGTCATAATTTGCGTCTGGCATTGCGGCGTTGTCAGATTTTATTTTACTAAAATCCGCTTTTCTCTAAAAAAATGCCGCTTTGACCCCCATGTTATGTTACATTTTGCTTCTTTTAACACCCTCTTCACCCATTTGAATAATGACTATCATATATCATAACGTTTACACCCTGTATATGAAAGATGCTTGTTGCAAGCTTCATCAACTGTTGCAAGAATGTACTTCATACTGTAAGTACTTTGCATTTGCAACGGAACAAAAATTTTGTCAACAATTTCAGAAACTGTAAAAGATATATTTAACCGACAAACTAACAATTGTCGAAATGTTTTGCCTAACAAAAAATCGGTCTTTGCGGACTTTCCAAGCAATGCTCTGAATGCATTCAGGAAGATAAGATTTTTCAGTGCATGGACTTTCCTATGACCTAATGGTCTTGAACTAAAGATAGGATATGCTATTTCCGAATGTTTCAGCGGTTATTGCATTATAGTAATCAATAAAGAATCGCGTTTCAAAATGTTTGACTTAATAGCGCCTTATTTCAGAATGAATCTCTCAAGATATTCAGACACAGGTGATTTTCAGTGGATTAACCTATCTATCACCTAACTGTATTGGGCTACGAGGATACGGTTTACTATTTTGGAATGTTCCTGAATTAGCCTTGTAATTATTATTATGAGATCGCGTGAAGGCAGTGTTGTTATTGGATTATTACTGTAGCACTTTTTAGAATGTACCGTTTCAGGAGTTATAATGAAACATGAATTCCTAGACTTCCGTTTCTGCTGATACATGGTTTATTTTGATTATAATAGTGCATGGATACGTATCACGGTAAAATTCACATTCGTTTATGCTTATTTCTTCTGCGCTTTTATTTGTGAAGAAAAATCGAACAGACATTCTCATAACCCAAATATGGATCATTCATTGCTTATTGTTATGGTTTACGCTTCGATCCCATAGGATGACAAAAAAATACGAGAGATGTCTTTTAAGTTTTGCATTTAGCGCGGATCGATCGTCAGAACTGAATCTTAACCTCACTCTTTAGTAAACTTAAATTCAAAGTTTCACAACAATACGTGCAGTGTTCTCACAACAGTTAATTTTTAAGTGTCACCAAGTCATTAGAAAAATGGAACTAAACGGAGAACATTTTCGCGCCATAATTTATTACAAATTTCACAGACAATTATCGCAACAAGAATGCCAATTTCCCGTTGGTATGGAGAATTCAAATGGGGACGGGTGAGTCTTAGCGATGATTCCAGGGTGGGTGCACCAAAAACGTCAGTCACCCAGGAAAACGTCGATGCTGTGCGCAAACTCATCATTGAAGATAGACATGTGAAATATCGCGAGACTGAGGCGTCCTTGAAGATCTCAAAGACGTCAATTCAAAAAATTTTACATGAAGAATTAGGAGTAAGAAAATTAGTTTCTCGTTGGATACCCCACCTGTTGACTGAAGAGCAGAAAGCAGCCAGGGTTAATTGGTCTCAAAGAACACTTGAACGTTTCAATTCCGGAAACTCAAAAAATGTGTACAGCATTGTTAGTGGTGATGAATCATGGATTTACTGTTATGAACCAGAAAATAAACGACAGTCGGCTGTTTGGGTGTTCCACGGTGAAGAAAAACCAACAAAAGTCATCCGTTCTCGAAGTGTTTCGAAAAAGATAGTCGTGACATTTGTGTCAAAAGCGGGTCATATTGCAACAATTCCTCTTATTGAGCAAAGAACTGTTACTGCGGATTGGTACACCACCATTTTTTTGCCAAAAGCCATCACCGATCTTCGAAAAATCAACCCCGAAAGAAGAATCATCCTCCACCAAGTCAATGCAAGCTCGCACACAGCCCAAAAAACAAGGCAGTATTTAACGGAAGAAAACGTGGAATTATTGGACCATCCTCCATATAGTCCGGATCTAAGTCCTAACGATTTATTTGCTTTCCCAAAAATTAAAAATAGACTGCGTGGTCAATGGTTCCAGTCACCAGAAGAAGCAGTTGACGCATTCAAAAATGCCGTTTTGGATCTGCCAGCAAACGAGTGGAATAAGTGCTTCGAAAATTGGTTCGAGCGCATCAGATGTGTATTAATCTTCATGGAGAATACTTCGAAAAACAATAGTCATTTAAAACTACACCCCGTGTCGTTTTATTTCCATATGCAAAACTTAAAAGACATCCCTCGTACACCTTGTTGATCCTCATATGGTCAACAAACAAGGTGGTGTTTCTTAGGTGTTGAAACATTGTTTGTCGAATTGCAGATAATAGTCGGAGGATGCTGCTTGCGCCGCACATGCGCAAGGGATGAAAATGGCCCGCAGCATGTTGCGGGACGATCTCTCAAGACAAAAATGTCCAATGGCAATACAGAAAATGGCGTCAAATGGTTGACTCTGCAATTCCCACGCAACACTGTGATCAATTCATAAATGATATTCGGTGCAAGTACATGTATAACAAAAAAGTTAAATGGATCAAATTAGCCAAACAGGCACATACCAAAGAGTATTTTGTTATGTTCATGCAAGTTCTAAGACCTATTTCGTGAACTGATTTGCATTCGGAACGCCATTCAAATTCCAACCCATTCTCACTTGTACATACAAGCTAGATATGCGCACCAGAAGGAAAACGAAGTCAAAAAGACGAAGTATCCATTTCAAAGTTCGTCTAGGATTCGCAAAGGCAGCAAAACTCTTTGTTAAAGCCATTTATTTGATCCGGAACTCTAATCTATTGCCAGAACAAGTGTTCTTCAATTTTTAGCCATCGCTAGCCTTCCCCCCTAGACATATTCCTAAATAATCCGCCCTTGGTGGACTTCTTGGTTTTCTTAGTATCCAGTTGGGAATCAAATGATGAAGATCAATCGTAAATTTGATCCAGTTAAGATGTCTTGTGCCGCATTACCTTCCTTATAAGACACTTCAATCGGACTTATCTTTTTCGACTACGGCAGTTTATGGTCTAAGCATGTGCCTTTCTGCATTCCAACACGCATTAATTAGACATAATGTTTTCTTAAGCTTTTTTACCAGGAACAAATTCACGACAAGTGTCTGTGCTTACGGTTAAAAACTGGTTCGGTGTATAAAAATGTTCCTGGAAACAGAATACTGAGTACATCTCATCTGAGAGTAAATCAGATTTTAGCAATCAAGTTTAGTCAATTTAGTCAAATAATTACTGAATTATTTATTTTTTTAAATGCACGTATGTGGCTTTTAGTGCGTTCAGTCCTACTTTTCAGCTCACGGACTCCTGTAAACGATCTTCAAAGTTACCTTACTGTCCGTTATATACAAATGAACCTTTGTTGAACACAATATACTACTGTCATACGCCAGAGCGCAGTAAGTGCAAAAAATGCGAAAATGAGATATTGAGCCGTATTCATAAAACAAAGGAT